ACGGAAGGCCAAGAGAGCGCTCCGTTTGTGAAGAGGATCCTAAAAGCTCTCTCGTACACTCCATTTTCTCGGACTTCGGGATAACATTGAGCACCTCTTGCCTGTTTGAAGTCTATTTAGTGAGGTTGAATCCCCCGGCCTTTGGAGTGGCGATCAGTTCAGTCATATAAATAATAGCAGTATTTGGGTCGTCAAAGGAACACAGAAAATCGTCCACGTAAAAGTGGTCCATTGCTTTTCCTAGCGAATTGCTGGTGCCTCCAAAACGCTTGAGAGTTTCTCTGAGGGCAAATTAGCACAGAGGGATGATGATACCGTCCAAAAGGGATGAACGGTTAGCCTGTACTCGTCAGGTTCGTGGTTTGCGTCGTTTTCAGGCCACCAGAGAAGACGAAAGGCGTCCCTGTCTTTAACGGGCATCTTCACTTGTAGAAACATTTCACGCATGTCCGCAGAGACGGCCACTGTTCCTAGCCGAAAACGATATAAAAACTCGACTAGTGGTGTTGTCCAGTCTGGGCCCTGTAGTATATGGTCGTTGAGTGACACACCCTGACATTTCGCGGCACAGTCGAAAACGACTCTGACCTTCCCCGGTTTCTTTGGGTTCACGACCGGGTGATGAGGTAGGTACCACCACAAATTCGCGCTGATAACCGCTGTATCCACTCTTTTCATATAACCCAAGTAGATGTCATGTTGCATGGCTCGCGTGTATTCCATCCTTAATTGTGGTTCATGAATTAGCCCGGTTTTGAGGAAGCGTAATCTCTTCAGAGCCATTTCTCGGCTGTTTGGCATAGGTTTAATGTTGGGTCCTCACGGGACAGGAACCTCGAAACGACCTTTTGGATAGTTGACTTTCTCGGCTACCATTTTCAAAGCCGCTCTATCTTCTAGTGATAGGGCATCTCTATAAATGGCCAGGTCGGCGAATTCGGTGTTACACAGCTGTTGAAGTGCCTGTTCAATGTTCGCCGGTTCCACCGAAGCGCAGTTGATTTGGATTAGTTTGCAGCATCTTCCATCTGTACTACCACATAAAGTCCAACCGAATATGGTGCGTACTGCGTAGGGCGCTTTGCGGCTTCCTATTCTTTGATCCAGGACCCAATGCGCTTCTGGTACATCACAACCGATCAGCAGATCGATTTCGTTTCTCTGCCAATACTCGATCGTAACCACGTCGAGATGCGGCCACTGAGTCAGAATCGATTGCACTGACTGAAGTGCTCTCATCGGCAGGTCCTTCATGGTGAATGCTTCTAGAGTTTCTGCTCTATCGTTGTTGACCAAGGAAACGAGTTGTAGGTGCAGTTTGGTCGACTGGATGACCTGGGTGCCACTCACTGTGTTCGCTGCTAATGAAGATTGATCCCCTCTGGTCCCATTTCTCTGCAAACTCCTTCCTTACTAGCGTGGTATCCGAGCCATTATCTACGAAGGCCAACGCTCTTATAGCCCCAACTGCTATTACTCCCAAGCGAATGGGCTTTTCAGTGGATCGAGACACTGATCAGACCACACTGGGCTTCGGGGTTTCTTCGGCATTTAAATTCTGGCCTTTATGCAGTAGGTAATGGTGCTTCCCATGGCATCCATCCTGACTACAACTGGGTTTCGTACGGCACATCGCTGCTCGATGTGAATCGTTGAGACAGACAAAGCACGCGCACGGTCTCTTAACCATTTCCCATCGTTCGTCGACGTCTACGTTGCGGAGGCGAGGGCATTCCACCAGGCGATGAGGCGCCCCAAAAACAATACACGCCGGCAAGTTTTCACGTTCGCGAGATAACGCGCATGTGTTTGTCCATGGTTGGCTTCCACTTGGTTCCCTGGTCCAGGTGTGCGTCGTCGTAATCCTAAGTAATTTTCTCGTCTCGCGCACAAGTTGACCGAAGCTACTGTTTGCTATTCGGGCATGACGGTCTATAAACTGCGTCAGGTCTTCAAACGTGGTTTCTCGCCCAAATCTACTAATCCCTTCGGCTTCCTCGGCCCATCTACCCTGTATTTCTGTCGGTAAACTGCGCACTATGGTCTCCAGTGTGTGCAGTGCGTTCAGGTCTGATCGGAAATCTAGGTGATTCAGTGCGATGCTGCAGTTCTGTATTTTTATCACCAGGCTGGCTATAGAGCCCGACTCGCCTTTGGAAAGTTTTGCCTCTGATATTACACCATCGATCAAATTCCGGGCGAATTTAAATGGTTGCCCAAATAGGTTTTCTTCGGGGTCCAGCGTCGAGCACCCGTCGATTGCTTCCCTGGCCCTTCCACGACAGTAATGTAGCAAATACAAGAATCTCTGTCCTGGATCGGATACTCTCCATTCCACAAAGTTCTCGTACTGTTCCACGCATGCACGTTGCAAGCCTCATAGCTTTGGGAGCAAATTATTGCTTCCCCTACTTGCATTGTGACCTCCATCGGGAGGCGGCCTGCCACCCACCTGAAACGGCTGGCGTCACTGGTTATACGGCAGTTTTGGAATTCTAACTCGACCAGCGTGAACCAGAGTTCTGGATCAGCAGGTGTAAAAGCCGGTATGTGCAGCGTGGTAGCCCCAACGGTGGGGTCTGAGCAGGGTTTCCGTTCAGCAGACGTAGCGATTACTTTATCGAATGTAGACGGGCGAAGAAATCAACGACCAGTTGGGCACTATAATCTTCGCGTGAAAAAAATCACAACGAACTGGACACCAAAAATACGTATGGACAACAAAAATTATTTGGTAAACCGACCCAAATATAAAAATCAACAGATAGGAAAACAATAAAAAAACACAAAAACGTACATAGATGGGACATTGAAAGGTAGAAAACAAGGAAACTCACGTGACCTGGGGATCACATCGGGCTCACCAATTGGTGGGTTGATAAGACCTTACTTCGCGGTTTCCTTAGTAAACGCGTGCTTCAGTCCTTTGTACTGCGTGGACCACATGCACGTTACTCTAATGCGCGGCACTGCACGAATATGTTAGCCAGAACAGTATTCTCCACGACCCGTGAGAACGAGAAGACGATTGTGAGAAATAGTGGCTAGAGTGTACATGGGAGCGTGCGTGAGAGCGTGCGCAAGAGCAACGGTCAAATGGCAACCGTGCTTGGCAGTCAGCGTTCAGTTAAACAATAAACGTGGTAAAAGTATGAACGAAGATGACCACCGCTACAGAATGGTACCCTATTGCAATAAGCTCGCGGAAGAGGTCATAAATATCACAACCGCGAAGGCTTTTAGGAAAGCAGTAGACCCGTGTTGGGTGGCAGTATACCCCCGAGATATGTTAAGCAGCTTTTAGGGTCAAACGCAATTTACTTATTGTTTGCACCTTACTCTGCCCGGGCTGATACTGCGCAAAATTTCTGCCTTTCAGACAAAGAAAATCGCGCAGTGTTGGGAGCTACGGAAACGCGCCGACAACACAACTATCCAGACACATGATTGGCTCTAGCCACATCAAGTCCTGTGCATGGATTCCTGAAAAATAGATCTTGCCTGACCAATCTCCTGTGCTTCTTAGATGAAGTAACTGGACGACTGGACGAAGGTAAGCAAGTTGATGTATGCCACCTCGACTTTAGCAAGGCGTTCGATTCCGTTATTCATCGTCTTTTGCTACGCAAGATGGAGGCTTTCGGTATAGGTGGGCCAGTATATAGGTGGCTGGAGGACTTCCTCTCCCACAGGACGCTTTACGTCAAAGTGGGGGACAGCTGCTCCAGTTTGGTGAACGTCACCAGTGGTGTACCTCAGGGATCCGTCCTAGGCCCGGTCCTATTCTTGTTATTTATTAATGACCTAGCATCCATTCTTCAATCGCCCAGCTTTATTTTTGCGGATGATGTGAATATTGTTGGATCTAAGGGTAGGGCGGACTTGGGCAGGGAAATAGCTACCGTCCTGAACTGGGCATACAAATGGGACTTACCTCTAAACGCTCAAAAAAGCCATTTGTTGTCAAGGACAACAGAGAGCCTAACTGTCGCTCATGATCAAGGGCTGTTCACCGTAGAGGCAGCCAGTAGGGTTAAATACCTGGGGATCATCATGAAAAGTGACTTCAAATGGTCGGAGCAGTGCAACGCTGCTGCGCATAAGGCTCGTGGGGAGCTCTTTAGACTGCGATCAGCTTTGTCTTGCCGGAAGCCGGAGGTATTCGTACCTATTTACATGGCTATAGTACGACATGACTTAGAAGGTAGCGTGCAGGCTTGGTCACCCTTCTACAAAAAGGACGCCGCCTGCCTCGAGAAAGTCCAACGTCTCGCCACGCGAATGGTTGAAGGGCAGAGGGGTAAGACTTACGAGCAGAGACTCTGTGACCTGAATCTCTTCTCGTTGGAAAGGAGGAGACGTCGAGGGGATCTCATAGAAACGTTCAGGGTAATGAAGGGCTTTTCTGGCCTTAGACCAGATAGTCTATTCCAATTGGCCGTAGACTCCAGAACAAGGGGACACGAAAAGAAGTTGATAAAAGCCCGATCTAGGTTGATGGCTAGATCGCACTTCTTCAGCAACAGGGTTGTGAACAGTTGGAACGGTCTGCCTGGTGAAATGGTAGATCTGCAGACCGTCCAATCCTTCACATGTGCCCTAGATCGCAAGTGGTACGAGATCTTTCCTTGTAGCGAGCCTTGAGTATATCAACTAGATGGATGACGGGTAGGACTGTGTTCCTTCTGGAGTATGTTTTAGCAGACTTTTTCCCTCATTGCATACTGTCTCAGTGAACGCTCATGATGCATAATATCTCTCGCAGTTGATGTGCGATGAGGTTTCCGTTTCCCTCTCATTTTTAGCGGGGATTCGACGAAATACACTCGGCAGTGGTGGGTGCATAACTGTTGTGCATACCATCGAAGGAATTCTGGACGCTCGATTGGCCGTGGCCATTACCTGTCCTGTGCAGACTGGACTGAACTGAACTGAAGTGAACTGAACTATTCTGGGCCGGTCGTGGCGCGGGATTCGATCTGCTGGGTTCGCCATAGAAAATGGCTTTGAAACAGGCGGTGGCGAAGAGTGAGTACATATTTATTCAGAAATATGTGTGCAGAGGTAATGGAGGAAATAATCATTCCACTGAAAAAACCGAAAGATTGGAAGGTCTTCGTGTTAGATCGGCTCGCTACTCGCATTGTTTCTTCATGTTGCAAAATGCACGAAATTATGAACAACGGAATCACTCGTACGTTTTGAACATTTCGCTAGTGATATTTTTCAGTGGTTGAGGACATTACTAAGCGAAGGGAGGTTTTGCCCATTGAGGCAATCTACCTAATCACCCCAACGGAACAGGTATTCTCCTTCTTCAATTCTCATCCTTGCAGTCGGTGCAGTCTTTGATGGATGATTTTCAAGGGTCTCGCAATCAGTACAAATTTGCACACGTTTTTTTCACAGAGGGTGAGTGTTGTGCCATGCAATGTTTCATGCTCACGCTCTGTCGTAATGTGTCGTTGGTCAAGTGTTTTTGTGTAAACTTCCCCGGACCATACAGGTCTGCTTGGTACTGGTCATGAAAATGAATGCTCACATAAACTACGTCATGGTTAAAAATTCACAGGACGTTTGTGTTATACCTTCTGCTTCGTACACATTGATCTCGTTTACTTCAGTTGGCTGGTGCTGGTGAGGGGCAAACAAAAGTAGTACACCAGTTTATGATTCTTAGTTTAGGAAGACAAACGGAACTGGTAGATACCGCTTGATTCAGGAGAGCCACCTAAAAATTATGATATTTCGTGAAATAAACAACAATACAGTGAGCAGCATCGCGAGGGCGTCTCCAAACTAGCATTTCTGACATCTCTCGTGGACGCCGTCCTCATTATTCATTTTGATACCGGTGATTGTGCTAACCTTTGAGCACTATCCGGAGCCTGAAGTGTATTCATGTATCAGTTGTTCTTCGAGCCGCGGCTTCCCTATTTTCCTTCCACCACGTACTGGTGTTGCATTTCAGCTTGTCCCGACGAACTTTTCAATCGATTATGCCATTCCAATTGTGCGGTTTTCTTGAAGACACTGAAAGAGATCAATATTGCATTCCTTCCTGTGGAATCTCGTGTGTTCTCTTTGGATTCACCTGTCAGTTTCCAATACTACTTCAATCCCACAACAAGGCAGCAGGGGCAGGGGCAACAGTTGGAACGGATTGCTGAGCAGATCGCCACTCTCTGTGCGACACTCGGGGAGTACCCTCTTATTCGTTTTCGGAGGTGAGTTTACTGAGCGTGTCCTCCGCGTGTCCTAAACAATGTTAACTTTCGTGTTTTTTTGGAGAACTCGGGCCAGATCTGAAATTCTATGTCTATGCGAATAATGTAGTTTATGTACCAATTAACGGTAATCTGCACTTTTTTTTACTGTTGCGAGGCCATACTGCGACTGGTTTCAGTGAGTATGTTTCACGAATACCGCGGAAGAATTGTGATTTCGCCCCAACGCTTATAGTAAGTGTCCAAAAGACTGGGTGTTTACTTTTGATGATGCGGCTGAGCCGCATCTCAACTAATCACTTACTTTTGTGGAGCTTCACCCATCCGCTCGAGTCATGCTTTATAATGGAAACTCCATTCAGTAGGGTACATTTAGCAAAATGAGAAATGGCACACTCAGGAAAAATTAGAATTGCGCTAATGGCATCATTGTGAGCTAATCAACACTTACCCTGCGCGGCCTTCTCAAATACGTTGGCATATAAAACGCCAAATCCGAGCGCAATAATGGCTGTGTGTTATTGCGTCTGCCACTGACTGACTACGGACTGGAGATGCCGTTGGTAAACTATGCATACTTGTCGCAGTGTTGCTTTAAGACTACAGTTACTACACTAGAACCCTTCCATTTCGGTCTCAGCCGCGTGAAGAATATTTCAGTTACTTTGATTTCATCTTCTGTGGCGCATGCTATTCTCGTGTGTAGTATACATGAGCACTGTTGGTAGTTAGACGTCGATTTCTTAACATGGCTCATTTCTGATGGGAACACCATATGAGCGATATCGAGGTCGAGCGCAGATTATTAGATGTACAACAAATCAGTTGATCAAACAATAAAGTTCAGCAGGGCACGGTATTTCGGGACTGTTTTGCGCATGCCCCCCGATAGAATTCATCGACGTGAAATAGAGTATGAAAGGTCTGACCACTAAACTTAGCCATGTGGGAAGTTTTAAGGCTCCAGGGTGGGACCCATAGTATCAGCACACATCCGACTCAACGGGATTGCCCGCAGCCCAAATAGTGCTGTCCCGTCCACGTCTCGCCTCCCCACTGGGTGCATAGAGGTAAAGACAATTAAAGACAGTCCAAAAACCGGATCGATGGTCCAAGCACAAACAAGAGCAACAGAAAAAACAACCAGTTCCCACGCGACGGACCGGAAAAATTCCCTCCACGGCTGCTTTGTCACCGTCCCGTGCTGGGTTACAACCCCACTTGTGAGTTAGACCGTTGATTTGAAGGCTCCGGTTAGGTTTCTCATAGAAAAGCCCCTTTTGTGGTGTGGACAACCGCGAAGTGTCGTTCACCCAAAAACCTCTAGCATCCTTTGAAAGGCCCTACCAGTTCCCTTTCACGCAGTGTATGTTTAACAAATCATTGTGAACCAGCCTTGATAGCCTGGCGGTTGTGTCCGACGCACAACCGCTCATCCTAGGTTCGAGTCCCGTGGGGGTTCGGTAGGTGTGCGCTGCTGCTGTTTAGAGCGAAACAGCTATTCTGTACTTCCACGGCTTTTAGTAATAAGCTGACTGTTAATACTACACGACAAATCATATAATTTACATTCCTTTAACTCGGAGTCGATGCAAGATGTTGCGGGTTATTTTGGCTCAGGAGACGTGCCTAGTATTAGTAGTTCAATAAGCTGAGGTGTCGGTAATTGTTCTCCGTGTATGCACTCACTGACTGCGATTTTTCAGAGACCAAGGATGAGTTTTGTCGGGATTTGTCCCGACTGCTTCGAGGTGTGTATTCGATGGACATCGTGGTCATTGCTGAAGATTTTATGACCAAAGATGGTCGGTTGTGTTCTGACCATGAAATGTTCCTAGCGAGGTTGGTCTTTTGCCATATAATGCAGCAGACTCGCTTGGTGTCTTCCTACGCATTCACGGCGTTGGACACATTGGCTATGCTATCATTGGTCACTGCTGATGTGGGTCAATCAAAGATTGCCGTTTACTCTGATCCATATCTGTAAACGCAGGTCACGCGTTGGTACGTGCTTCCTTCTGTTTACGTTTCATCCGTGGTCGTAAAACTGAAGCCAACCGTCCCGCAGTTACTTCAAGATGTTAACCGATATCTACTTTCTTGGCGGAGCTATCTACGCAGTTATCGGTTCAGTCGAATGCTTAGGACCCAAATGAGTAGAGTCAGCAGGTAGACAAAGCCTTGCGTACTGACCTCACAAGTGATATATCTTAGTCATCACTTGCTCTCTCAAATGCGTCCTTCCGGACACCACACTTGATGAGGTGCACCAATCCCTGAGACATCGACTGTCTGAGAGTGCAGCCGAATGTCCAGGACCCAGAAAAACGCTGAGGACAGATCAAAGAAGCTTCATATACCGCTTCAAATGCCATCTATGACTCTGGTTCAGGTCGGTCTCACAAACGATGGATATCTTCGACATCAGTTGCTTTGTTGGATGCTCGCAGACTGGATGCCACATTCAATGGAGTGCGTAAATCCCTGAGTCGTCAACTGATCAGGAGCCTGAGAATTGACTGTGAACAGTGATGGGTTGGGAGTTTTAAAGAAATGGAGAAGACTGTGTCTATAGGCAGTAGTCAAGACCTTTACCGTTTGATTAGAAGTACCGGTCCACGGAGGCCTGGTGTGAGTTAATCAAGGAATCCGAGGGCTCACAGATTCACTCTCAGGGACGTCGTCTGGATTGTTGGGCAGAGCACTAAAAGGCAATTCAGTTGGCCCACCTCAACGGTGAACCTTTCGAATATACCTGTAATAGAATCGATGCAGGTGGATATCACTCCTCCATCAGAAATGGAGGTTATGCGGTAGATAGATCAATTGAAAAGGTACAAAGCCGTTGGAATAAATGGATCGTCTCCATAATTTTCCAAGGAAGGAGGCTAAGTTTTGGTTTTCGGCTTGACGAAACTTCTTCGGGTAATCTGGGATAGTAAACAGATTCCCAGGGAATGGTGTAAATCGGTGATTGTACCGATTTACAAGAAAGTGACGGATCCTCTTGTGAAGACCACGTAGGAATTAGCTTGGTAAGTATTGCGTCCAAACTGCTTACCGGGCGTATTCTCCACCGATTATCCAGGGCCCACGAAATGTGAACGCATGAGAATCAAGCCGGTTTCAGACCCGGTCGTGGTTGTATCGACCACATCCTCACTCTTCGGCAAACTTTAGAGAATAGGCACATGTTCCGTAGGCCCACCATCTTTGTCTTTCTTGATCTGAAAGCGGCGTTCGACTCAGTCGACCGCACAGTTCTCCGGCGCTGCCTCCCACTGAAGGGTTCGCCAGTAGTTTATTTCTCTTTTCTAATGCTTGTATACAAACAGCCGAAGCCGAGTTCGTGCTTACGGCCATCTTTCTTTCGAGTTCACTATGAGAAGTGGTGTTTGTCAAGGTTGCCCTCTTTCACCCTTCCTCTTCAGTTTTGTGGTTGAATTAATTCGTGAGATAGCCCTATTTTCGTGTGAGAATAGCAGCATCGAACTTTTATCAGACAGTAAACTGTCTGACCTGGAATACTCGGGCGATATTGTTATTCTGAGTGAAGATTCAGGTTAGTTGCATGCTCTCTTAGATGACCGAAACAACAGTGTAGGAATACTTGGAATGCGTTTTACACCTTCAAAGTGTAAAATGCTGTTGCAGGACTGGGTTGGCTCAACGCCAAACCTTGTGTTGGCAGGTGAAGCTCCAGTTGAAGTGGATAAATTTTGTTGTCTGGGCAGTTACATTTCACCAAGTGGACTGATATCAGATAAAGTGTCATCGCGTATAGAGAAGGCGCGTTTGACTTTTGCCAACCTCCGTCATCTGTGGCGTTGGTGTGACATCCGATTGTCTGTTAGGAGTAGAGTGTACAATGCGTCGGTTAGATCCGTTCCTTTATACGGCTCGGAAACACGACCGCTGAGAGTAGAAGATATGCAAAGATTGTCGGTGGTTGAGCGCCGATGTCTCCGTAACATTTCCCGAGTATGGTGGGAACAACGTATCAGCAATGCTGAGCTTAGACGTAAGGTGTTGGAGATCACAGGTCAGTCTCTGGATCAAGTGCTGGATCTAAACAGGTTAAGGTGGTTGCGACATGTGTTACGCATGTCCGCCGATAGACTTCCTCAGCGTACGCTGTTCTCTGAGGCAGGTGGTGATTGGAAGGTAGGTTGAGGTGGTCAGTCCATGACATGGCAAAAAGGTATGAAAACCTTGACCAGTGGACTTGGCCGAGTAGGACGTGTTAGACTTCCAGGTGATCCGCCTACTAAGTGGTTAGAGACATTAAGTGACAGGGTTAGGTGTCGCGGTCAGTGGCGTAGTTGCATTCGAACTCTTTCTTCGTCTTCGTAATTTCCGCCTATTACTTTGATTTTTTCACTTTACGCCTCTACCATTTTCGCCCTTGACTTGATGATGCTGCACGGTAGCAATTGAAACCAAAGTACAGAAGTGCGAGGTTATTGGTTGGATATACTGAAACTGAAACTGAGCTCGATGTCGCTTTAGGTCGTTTATTTCACGGAGGATTGCTATCTTCACCCACGGTTGTAACCATCGCCCTAATAAGCAGACCTGTCGTGGATAAAGGTCGGTTGAACTGCTCGAAATGCTCCGCCCAACGAACTAGACGACGCTGCTAAGTTCGAATCAGTGAGCCGTTCGTCCCTTTGATTAGTTCATCGAGGCCTGGCTTTCGGGGATTGGTGTTTCTGATTATACGGAATAGGTTGCGGCTATTGCCAATCGCCACATTTTCCCCCATCTCCTTGCACTTCGCAATCCACCACTACTCACGGTCGCTTCCCAGGCTACGAATCAGCTAACGTTTAAGGCATCTCCGTGCCTCATCATATCTGGAGTCCGGAGGGATCGATCCGCCAGCATCTAACAGTGCAACTGAGGATGCAGATAGCCGTCGTTTCTTTGTGTCTGGTTGTTGGACCTTCAGCAGCATTAGCAACCTCAAATAGAGTCTGCCGGATCTCTGTCCATGACTCTTCTAGATCCTGGGTATTCGGCTTCATCGATAACCTAGCGGATAATTCTATGTGGAAAGCAGATTAATGGTTATCTTTGTTTCGGCCACCGACGAGACGTGGTTTAAAACGCGCACGGACAAGAGCGTAATCAGTGTCAGCAGACCAAAATGATTGACAGTCTTGAATTGATCCGCGTCAGCGGTAACCCATAGCAATTTGGTCGACCTGGGTCCAACACTGTGAAGGCTCAAGAGGACGCCATCTTAGTTGGCACTGCTTCTTGTGCGAGAAATTTCCATTCGCTAGGAATAGTCTATGGTCGGAACATGGAGCAGTCGGTCACCATTGTCGGTTCGATCGACTCGAACGCCAAATCGGCCTCCTATGTGCGTTCCCGTCTCTTCTAGGCTTCCAACTTGAGCATTGAAATCACGAGCAAGAACCATGATGTCTGTAGAGCACATTGCCTAGCAGTTGAGACAAATCTTGGTGGGATTCGCCTTTAACCTTAGGAGAGCTACAGCCAGTTGGGACGTACACAGACACGGCGCTCCAGTCTATTGCTGTTAACACATACAAAACCGTCCAGTCTAACTGCACACGAACGACTGTTAACTGGGATCCAGTCGAGCAGTACACGCTCAGCCTTCATGCTCAGAACGATGCCAACGCCAGCCTGACCACGAGCACTAGACACTGAAACACCCCGACACACACGAAGAGTGAATTGAGAAACAGAGTTTATTTGGGCAACGAAGTGTTAACACTAATGTGGGGTCTTGTATGCGTTTTTCGGAGACAAAATACATCTGTTTTGAAATTTTCAAGAGTTTCAGGTGAGGCAGCCTGTTGCCCCGTTTGGTAAGGTGTGTGGACTTTGAAAGCAGCTGAGTGAAAAGGTTGCTGAGGTCGGAGAATCGACTATCTTTTTTCCCTATCTCTAAATTTTTACCCTGAGCGAGAGTTGATAGTTCCCAGTTATAACTCATTGTGGCTTCTCGTATCCACATATAATTAGAATGTGAAGGACGAGGCGCAGATAGATAAGAAGTGTTTACGGAGGGGTTGCTGGAGACCTCTGGGCAAATAATACATCGCGGCTGCTTACATCGCAGAAGGGGTTTTCCTTTGGGAACTCTAACTGGAGCCGTTGACACAAAAGTCTGACCCACAAGGCAGTGGGATATTAACCCAGCGCGGGAACATGACCGAAGCACCAGTGAAGGAACTTCTGGTCTGTCACGTGGTTACTGCACACATTTTGTCTCGTTTTCTCTGGTGCTCTGGTATCGATCCGCTTTTCAGACTCATTGCTTAGTCCCAAGCACCCGTTTGAGCTGACGGACTGTAGACGGGGCGGCATTCTTTGAACTAAGAGCTGCCCAGCTTAGGCGGGCGATAGCAACGTGCATCTAGGAGCATAAGGGATATATGTTTGTGGTATATGATCGTTATTTGACGTATGACAGTGTGAATCAGTCGTATTATCAGTGAGTGGATTCTGCGCATTGGAGAGGTAGTGGTTGACTCTAACCAGCTGAAGCCAGGGTTCGGAGCGAAGCTTTGTTCTCCTTCTTGTCGGGGAAACGAAGAGCTGCGTACTGAGGGTTGCACTCCAACAACTGTTCGTCAGCTAATGAACTTCCGATCGAATGAATTCCTCATCGTTTTCTGGGTGTCGCCTTGATCTCGTACCAATGGGTTTAAATTTCTCTGCGTCATTTCCAAACAACAGTAACATCGGGAGCTAGCAACCCACATGGGGGACATGGAAGGTGATCATCTAAAAGCGGAATATCGACAGATTTGTGCAGCTTTAGAAATTCATATCCCATAAGCACGTCAGAGCAAGGTTAGGGAAAACCGAAAGCATGATATGAGGGTACTGACGATCTTTGTAACGCAGAGTAACGAAACAACGGCCGTCCGTTAAGTTCGTCAGATGTGTCACAGCTATCAAAATTCTCTGGTTTTCAAGTACGCCAGTTATGCCCCTTAACAACCGATGCCGATATTTTGCTCTCCGTATCCACAAGTGTCCTCAATGCAATGCCACTAATGAAAGCTTCTGTGTTTGCCTGTGGAAAGCTACTAGGTGCTTCCCCGACGGCCATTGGCGACAGGCAAGAAGTGTGTTTTAAGGAGCGATACACTTTCTGGTATTGTCCTGTTTTGTTACATCCTTTACAAACAGCCTCTCAAGTGGGGCATACAGATCGACCGTTTTTTATTGAACTCGCAAAAATAACATTTATTGCGCCAATTTGCAGCGGAAACAAACGGAATGCTCGCAGCGGGGGCATTATCTTAGCTAAAAGTCGGTGTAAGCTCCGAAGCATTGGTTGCAGGAGCGCTGTATCCGTTTTCCGACTGAAATGGTTGCGAATGAAAGTAAGCTATTTCTCACCTGTTGGAAGGCTGTACGTCGGTCGAGTGAGGCATTCCCTAAAAGACGGCGTATGGTCTGGGAACGAAGTCCAGTTATGAAAGCGTCTCGAAGTTTCCTCTCAGCTCTCGTTGGCTGCTATGGATTTGAAGTTGCAATCTTGGGCCAATGATTTCAGCTTCTGTAAAAACTGATCTAAGCTCTCAGTCTTTTGCCGACAAGTCGCCAATAAGTGGTGAGCAAAAATCTCATTCTTTGATTTGATTTAGAGATTCCTCAGTATTTCGATGGCTGATTCATAACTGTGACATTCTTTGATATAGTCATGAACAGTTGGGAACACAATTAGCAAACTTTCGAAATTTGTCGAGCTGAACAGATTCTATGCTATCCAAAAAGTAACTGAATGTGTCGAATCGGCGAGTCTACTGTTAGGCTGCACTTGGACAGTTAGCATCGTCAACGAAACGTTCCGGTCGCAGTATTCAGTCCATTATTTGTCGAATAAATTGTCATGGGATCAAACAGATCGGCAGTACGAAGAAGAAGCAGAACTTGGGCTGTTCAGCCGGCTTTATTCAACAAACAACTGACGCATAAGAGCTGAAAATAAAATAAACAGAATGACAGTTAGGGACAATACAAGTGTTGTTCAGTGGTACACATCCCTTAATGTTTCTCTGGTGGGACGTTTCGACAGTTCCGTTGCTGGGCGTTAAAAGATATGGCGAACACTGCAATCGACGCGGTGGAATACTAACAGATCTATAGCAAAACGTCTGAATCTTTAACACCAAATTACCTTTAGAACTCCAATTTTTCCAAACTCATGGTCCATGAAGATTAGATTTCATAGAAACGTGGGTGGTGGTACACGTAGATTTAGATCTATGGTCTAATTTCTCTGTGGTCTTGTGGCCCCCTCGAATCATTCCCGAGCACCACTTCATATTTTGCCAATGTATTCTGTGTAGCTGGAGCTACCTGTTTCCAGAAGATTCCTTTCTAGGCGTATGCATATTTTTTAAGAAGCTAATTACCACAATCACAACTTAAGTGTTTTTTGTTTGTTTGCAGTCAGTATGAAAAGAACGCAGAATTCGCACAGTTGGTGCAACAGAAGCTGGATGCATACAAAGCTGATGACCCACAAATGGGCGAGGTAAGTCTTTCTCTTTTCCTCCAGTTTTAATGTTGGTTTTATTGACATCTTGTTTGGATAAAAGTCAATGTTTCTCATATCGTAGAAATGAGTGAATAGGTCTTCATATCGCTTTTCATGCCTTAAAGACTGTTGGTTTGTGTTGAGGTATCGTCATTTTTCTTGACTTTGTTTTTGGGTTTCTGGATGGTCTGTTTTGCCCATCGCTTCCGGAATTCGCTAACGCGATAAGCCATTCCGAAATGCTAGCGACAAATCGGACAAACCCCAATTCCGAGCTCGAACCGATAAAATGGGATAGTGAATCGGACGCTTCGTTTGGTTTATTTATTGATTTCTACGCTTCTTTCCATTCGCAGTTCTGTGCTCTGGTTTCAATTGCTACCGTGCAGCATCATCAAGTCAAGGGCGAAAATGGTAGAGGCGTAAAGTGAAAAAATCAAAGTAATAGGCGGAAATTACGAAGACGAAGAAAGAGTTCGAATGCAACTACGCCACTGACCGCGACACCTAACCCTGTCACTTAATGTCTCTAACCACTTAGTAGGCGGATCACCTGGAAGTCTAACACGTCCTACTCGGCCAAGTCCACTGGTCAAGGTTTTCATACCTTTTTGCCATGTCATGGACTGACCACCTTCACCTACCTTCCAACCACTTCCAGACTCGGAGAACAGCTTACGCCGAGAAAGTCCCGATGGGTATGTATAGCACGTCCCAACCACCTGGCGCACAAACTGACTTCTAGTTCCCAACATCTTACGCCTAAGCTCAGCATTGCTGATACGTTGTTCCCACCATACTCGGGAAATGTTACGGAGACGTCGGCGCTGAACCACCGACAGTCTTTGCATATCTTCTACTCTCAGCGGTCGTGTTTCCGAGCCGTATAAGGGAACGGATCCAACCGACGCATTGTACACTCTACTCTTAACAGACAATCGGATGTCATGCCAGCACCACAAACGGCTGAGATTGACAACATCGAGACGCTGTTTGTTAGGCACTCTTCACTGAGAAGAACAATAGCGTCCGAGTATTCCAGGTCAGGCGGTCTGCTGCCTAAGCAGAGATCAAGAGTACTATTCTCACACGAGGATAGGGCCGCCTGAAGAATCAGTTCCGTTACATAATTGGCGAAAAGAAGCTCAAGAGAGCAATTTCGACGAACACCGCTTTTCGTGGTGAACTGGGGTTAATAATGGCTGTCAGCACTTACTCGTTTTCAGCTGTTTGTGTTGAGGTATTGAAAAAGAGAAAAAATTCCTCTAGTACACCCTTCAATGGGGGTTGGAGGGGAGACAGTGCCGCGGAACTGTACGGTCGACTGAGTCGAACACCGCCCTCAGATCAAGGAAGATAAAGATTGTGTCCCCACGCCGGCCCGACCACGAACACCAAAAGGCGAACCACCTGACACGAAGAGTGAAACGATAGCCTGAGGCAGTATCTTGCGTGCGAAGCGTGATCACGGAGGTGGAGTCTTGTATGCGCGTCCCGAAACCAAAGCATACATCTATTTTAAAGGTCAAGAGTTCTATTGAAGGCAGCCTGTTGCCCTATCTGACGTAGTGTGCGGACGTTAAAGGCAGCCAAGTGAAGTAAACGTATAGGCTCAGGAAGTGTATTTGATTTATGTCCAACTTCTGAACTACTGCTTTCTTCAGAGCCACAATTACCCGTGGCGTTTTGTATCGATCTTAAATTAAGAGAGGAAAAGTCGGTAAGCCCTTTACGGGAAAGATGCTGGGTGTTTCTGGACGAATCATACTCCGTGACTGTCCACATCGTAGAAGGCCCAAGACAGAACTGTCCAGACAAACACTGTCTTTTGCCATGTACAGGATGGCGCCGTCGCTTTGGATGTCAAGTGAAACGGCCTCAATCGCCGTCCAGAAGGGCGTGATGTCCACGGTCTGTGGTACTGGAAGAAAAATTGGGTGATGTTTTGCGCTGAGCTCGCATTCAGCCGTCCCACATGGCCGGCGATGATGCGCAGTACCGGTAGGGTCGTCTTTTCCTCTGGCAAGAGATAGTCGTGTAAAATTGAAAGTAAATGAGGGTAATTGCCTTGGGAGTCTCTGGTGTCTTTTTTAATTACATGCTTGCGCCTTAGTGCACTGGAAGGCGTATACCCCATAGCTACAAAGTCTACTGCACTATTCGGCATAATCGGCAACCAGACCGTGAAACTTGGAGTGGAGAGCCACATAAGGTCCTGATTGGCCTTGACTCACTTTGCGGGATCTGGTTGACAAATGTAGAATCCGAATAAATGTCAATCAAACGCTTGATTTCTACCATATGCGCAAAGACGAAACTTGATGCTATGTGACTTAGATTACGCAGACGACGTTGTCTGCTTGTTCGAATCCACGGAACATGCTCAGCGTGCACTAGATAATCTCGCAAGAGCTGTAGCTCCATTCGGCATGCGTTTTGCACCTTCAAAGTGCAAGATGATGTTACAAGACTGGACGTCAACGATTCCGAGCTTGATGCTCGACGGGGAGGTGCTGGCAGTTGTCGATCACTTCACCTACCTCGGTAGCTGCGTGACGACGGATGGGAGCACAGTAGTAGAGGTGAGTACGCGGATATCCAAAGCTCGAGCGGCGTACGCTGGACTGAAGCACTTGTGGCGCCGATCCGATATTTCACTGAAGTTGAAAGGTCGTGTATACTGTGCCACTGTGCGTTCAGTTTTGTTGTATGGTTGCGAAACTTGGAGTCTGCGTGCTGAAGATATTCGTCGTCTTGAGGTTTTCGACCATCGATGTTTACGTAGTATCGCTAGGATTGGGTGGAATAGCCGAGTAAGCAACGATGTGGTAAGAAAGCGAGTATTGGGTACTAATTCAGAGAACATTTTGTCACAGCGTATCCAACTTAGTAGACTTCGTTGGTTGGGACACGTGTTACGTATGGCAAACACACGTCTACCGTACCGTGTCCTATTCTCCGCCCCTCCCAGGGAGTGGAAGAGACCACGTGGAGGTCAACAGATGACGTGGCAGCGAGGAATGAGAAAATGTACAGCGGACTTAGGAAAAGTAGGTGCTTCACGTCTTCGTGGTTGGGGTCCAAAAGACCCGTCCACCAGTTGGCTGGAGACACTGAAGGATATGGCTGCGAACCGCGAACAGTGGAGATCGTGTTGTCACTTTCTATCGAATCAGAATGTTTGATCGGTGTACGTTTGTACAGTTAGACTATGTATTCCGTGTGTTGGCTACTAGGGCATTCTTTTCTTTTCCCACCCATGTAGGTCCACTCCCTCTCCATCTCGTATATTCATACTTTTTAATTCAAAGTGCAACATGGTGAGAAAGGCAGCGGTCAGTGGCGCTTGCCCTACTGTTTAACGCTGTACGATGATGATGATGCTCCCCATTCACAAGGAAGGTCACATCCGATTCAGTTGAGCGAACAGCGCTATTCAATGCACTTCACCGAAAAGGTGTGCCACGGAAGTGCGTGATTCTAATGAAAGTACTGTAATGTCTTCTGACCGCGTGTCCTATTTCCGTTCCTCCTCAGGATTGGAAAAAAACACGTGCAGATCAGCAAATGACGTGGCAGCGAGGAATGAAAAAATGTACAACTAACTTGGAGAGAAGTAGGCGCTTCACGTCTTCGTGGTTGGGGTCCAAAAAATACCTCAACCAGTTGGCTGGAGATACTGGAGGATATGGTAGCGAACCGCGAGCAGTGGCGATCGTGTTGTTACTTCCTGTCTAATCAAAATGATTGATCGATGTGGGTTTGTATATTTAGACTGTGTATTCCGTGTGTTGGCTACTAAGGCATTCTTTCCTTTTCCCACCTGTGTAAGTCCACTTCCTGTTCATCTTGTAAATTCATACTTTCTAATCCGACGTGCAACATGGTGAGAAAGGCAGTGGTCAGTGGGGCTTGCCCTACTGTTTAACGCTGTACGATGATGATGATGATGATTGTGTGAGGATTTTCGGTGAACTATCCAGTCCGTTCAAGACGACCAGTGGTGTTTGACAAAGATGTCCCATTTTGCCATACCTGTTCAATTTCGTCATGGACGAGATGGTGGAGAATGCCTTACGAAATACTGAAGATCTGGTCGTCGAACTGACAAATAGTGAAAAGCTGTGTGACCTAGATTACGCGGACGAACTTGTGTGCTTTTTCGAATGCACGGAACACACACGACGTGCACTAGGTTGACTCACAAACGCTGTGGCTCCATTCGGCGTGCGCTTTGCACTTTCATGGTGTAAATTGTTGTTGCAAGACTGGACGTCAACGGTCCCGAGATTGATGCTCGGTTGGGAGGTGCTAGCAATTGTCGACCGCTTCATTTACCTCGGCAGCAATGTGACGACGAATGAGAGCACGATAGTAAAGGCGACCACGCGTATATCCAAATCCCGAACGGCGTACGCTAGACTGAAGCACCAGTGGCGCCGACCTGATATTTCACTGAAGTTGAAAGGTCGTGTGTACTGTGCCGCGATGCGTCCAGTTCTTTTGTATGGTTCTGGGACATGGAGTCTGTGTGTAGAATATATTCTTGAGATTTTCGACCATCGATGTTTGCGTAATATCGCTAAGATTAGATAGAATGACCGAGTGAGCAATGCTGAGTTCAGATATCGGGTACTGGGTACTATTTCAGAGAATGTTCTATCACAGCGTATCCAGCTTAGTAGACTTCGTTGGTTGAGGCACGTGTTATATATGGCACACACGTCTACCGTACCATACTCTGTTTTGTGTTTCTCCTCGGGAGTGGAAGAAGCCTAGTGGAGGTCAACGGACGACGTGGCAGTGAGCGGTGAGAAAATGTACAGCGAACTTATGAAACGTAGGTGCCTCACGTCTTCGTGATTGGGGTCCAAAAAATCCTCAACCAGTTGGCTGGAAACCCTGGAGGATATAGTAGCGAACCGTGAACAGTGGCGATCGTGTTGTCACTTTCTGTCCAATCAGAATGATTGATCAGTGTGCGTTTATTCAGTTAGACTGTGTAATCATCGTCATCATCGTACAATGGTAAACAGTAAGGCAAACCCCACTGACCACCGCCTTTCTCACCATCTTGTACGTCGAATTAGAAAGTATGATTATACAAGATGGACAAGGAACATACCTACACGGGTGGGAGAAGAAAAGAATTCCTTAGTAGCCAACACACGGAATACACAGTCTAACTGTACAAACCCACATCGATCAGTCATTCTGATTCGATAGAAAGTGACAACACGATCGCCACTGTTCGCTGTTCGCTGCTGTGAAATCCATGTGTCGGTTACCATGTGTATGTATGTATGTATTTCACACCCTTCTGGTTTCAGACTGTGTGCCAAACAGAAACATGGTACAGTCGGGTAGGAAGGGGTTGACAGTCCGAGTTCATGGTTTGTTTGTGGGCGCAATACTGTCAGGTTGCTCAGGCCAAAACAGGTGGTTTTCTCAGAGATCCACAACCGGAGCCTTTAGCTATCTAAAGCTTAACCCGCAAGGCTGCGGGACGAAACGTAGGGTCCGTAACCCACTGGGGGCCGGTGACTGAATGTTCAGTTCATATGCCCTTCGGATGAAGCCAAACATCATGGGTGCCCAGTGCATCTCTCCGTCACAGATGCTGGTGAGTATACCGTTGTACGCCTCATACGCCATCCATGGTTGTTTTGGAATCAGGTTTTGGCCATCTCCCCTAGACTTACTATTAGTCAGCCAACCCGGTGGAAAGCGTCGGGCATTCACTTTCGTCCCCACACTTTAGTGGGAACCGCCTCGAGAAGGCAGTGAGTGGGACTTCCTCAGCAGAAGCTCTGGTAGACGCAAGGTCACTTGGGAGTATTTCGAGAGGTGTTCAGGACGGGTAGACACCCACTCCCAACCATATTGAGGCATTTGGAGGCTTTCATTCCTTTTCTCATCCCGGTAGGTCCACTCCCTGTCTACCTTGTAAGTTCGCTCTTTCTATTGGTTCGTGCAACGTGTAGAAAAGGACAATAGGGCTCGCTCAGCTGTTTAATGCTGTACTATGATAATGACTGCGACAAAAACGCCGACAAGTGTACTCTAGAATCATCCGCTTGCTTTTTCCTGTCCAAATTCGTGTTTAATTTAGTCTTAGAGGCCAGCTTGTCATCATTTGAGGATAAAGTCATCGAACTTTTTCCAGGTGGTAGTGTTAGTATGTGGATGACAGTTCTAAGTAAAGATTCGAATAAGTTGAAAATTCATTGGGGCTGCCTGAGCAACTTCGTTGTAATTTTCGGTGTGCGTTTTATGCGGTAAAAGTGCAACGTGCCGCAGAATGACTGGGTTGCTTCAACACCGAACCGGACGATAATTTGGGAGGATTGAAACCGAAAAGGTGCATAAGTTCTGTTATCTGGACGGCTGTTTTTAACCCGGAGATGGGGAGTACCGGATGAAGTGCCATTGCGTAAACAGAAAGCGCGAGACTGAGATGACTGGGGCATGTGTTACGCATTCGGCCGGATAACCGGTGGCGGTCGAGTGGTTTAAAGCGTTTTATGACCATCTCGGAGGTCTGTTCGAATCCTCGCTATCGCCGGTTTCGTTGGTGGTAGACGGCATTCCACTGTCGTCGGGATCGTTACCACACCTGACCTATTGGTACCCTATGTGGTTCTCCACTCCAAATCTCTGGGTCTGGTCGCTGGTTATCCCTAATAGTGCAGTGGTCCTTCGTATCTAGCTGGTATATATCCCTTCCACTGCTCTCATGCGCAAGCGTGTAATAAAAAATATACTTTTTCGGTGCACAGTGTTCGCCGAGGTGGATAGCGTTTGGATGATGAGCAGGGCTGATTGATTCATGCCATTGCAGAAAAGTGTGAAAAGCGTGTACAGTGGACTTGCCCATGTAGAGCGTCTTGAGCTTCGTGGGTGGGTTCCAGTGAGTCTGCTCTGGTTCAATGCGTTGGGAGATATAACCAGATGTCGTGACCAACGACAGTCTCCCATTCACACCACTTGATACTACTATGTATAGTTCTCTTCTTCACTCATACACTTGATTGGCTTGATTTCCGACTGAGGTTTTTGCTGAGAGATGATAACCAGAACCGTCGCACCCAGTTCAGAGTAATTGTTTTTCAAACTGAACTAATGCCACTTCATACAGGGATTGCGTTTTTTAAGTGCATTTAATGGTTGCCTTGTCGTTTAGTCTACGTGAGTAACTCCACAGATAGTTAACGCTCATGTATGAGATCAACAAAGGTAGCCAATTTTTGTTTTTATATTTGTCTGTTGGTAACTCGGTAAGCACGCATCTAATTTCGGCAATGGACCTCACGGCATTCAAGATCACTGAGTCTTTCGGTTACGATATGGCCTTTAAACAGCACCTTCTCTACCTGTGGTGCTCTAATTAGCAGCTCCGTCTCTGGAGTATCCGCGTTGCAACTGTGTCACCCTTTGCTGAGGACTGCGTATCAGATTGCGTTTCGGCCAGATGACACGAAAATGAAGATTCGTGTATTGGCCTGACGTGTCTTTTTCCGATATACGTTTCTCTTAATCAAGCCATCATAGCATCTGGTTTGACAGATGTCAAGAAAAGGTGGACAGTCTTCTGTTTCGGTCGTAAAATTTACCACCGGGTATGCCGCGTTGAATTCACGTGAAACTTTTCCTAGGTCAACTTGTTTATCAGTTGTACTAAACATGTCATCCACTCACCACCGCGTTCACTATAACTCTGGAGCTCTCATTCTCGTTTTTCTTCGCTTTCAATTAAGTCCCTATTCATTAGTGCCTACGTGAATTCTTTCTGACATGTTTCCCTGTTTCTGTTTGCGCACTGAAGGGCCCGCAGAAAGACCGAAGTCAATTGATCATACTAGATCGTGGTTTCGACCCCATTTCACCGGTTTTACACGAGCTGACATTCCAGGCCATGGCATATGATTTGTTAGCAATTGAGAATGATGTATATAGGTAAGTTGCCACATCGTTGTTCCACAATACTCATATTCGTTGGTTGTGAGAATCAAGTCTCACTATTTTACTGAAGGTGTGAACGGTTCTGAGATTACAGATATTGATCACTGCTTTATCGCTGTAATCTCATTTGAATCGTTTGGATCGTAACTATTCAAATGAGATTACACTGACAAACCTACTGTGGTATATTAAATTAGGGAGACGTTTGGACAGGAGAATAATGTGTACACATACCTGATGTGCGACAACAACCACGAAACCGGTCGCGTGCTCCCGGGGAAATTTTGTCCACACGTTTACATACTACTTACTATCAGTATATATATATATATATATATATATATATATATATATATATTCATTTATGTATATAATACACCGACTTGACAACAAGCGTGGTACCAACGCTACAACAACCACGGAAAACAATTACAAAGTCGGGCTGGGCATCAGGAGTCATCATGAAGATTTCAACAAGTAAAAGCAAATTTTTTTCAGTATTTTCACCGTTCACGTTTTGTAAATTTTTTTGTCTGTTCAATTGTTTATCGGGAACAGGAAGTCAGCAGTCAGGCCATACAGCATTCGCGCCACTGGATTCAGTCCCAAGCCATATTTCTTAGCGTCTCTAACCAACGGTAATCCTCATCTCGTGGGCCCGAACCAGGAAGGCAGGAAGCACCAACCAAAGTCAAAGCCGAAACTAAATTCTTCATTCCCTTACGCCAAGTCATAGTCTGACTGCCTCATCACTTCTTGCAGTCTTGTCCAGCACGTGCAAAAAGTGCACGAAAGGGTAAGCGATGGGCAGGCATGCGCAAAACGTACACGAGCCACCGGAGGCGGTGTAGAGCGATTATCTCGGTCAGAGAGCGACTATCAGTATCGAACACACGACGACGAACCTCGTCATTGCTCACTCGGTGTTCCTATCAGACACGAGCAATGCTTCGGAGACATCAGTGGTTGAGTACAGAAAGCCGCCGACCATCCTTAATGCGGAGGGGCCAGACCTCGCGACCGTAAAGAACAAAACTACGAACTGTGGCACTGTACGCCCTTCCCTTGATGGAAAGCCGGATGTCATGGCGGCCCCACATATGGCGCATGTTCGTCATTGCTTTGACTCTCGCAATGTGCTATGTGATCTCTTCCCTAACACCACCACCAGTAGTGATCAATCTCCCGAGGTATTTAAACCTATTGACTACCTCTAGTTGATCATCACAAAGGGTGAATACAGGCACAGACTCCTGTCAGTCTTGAAGAAATACTTTGCAATTTGAAGGCGCAAAACACATGCCACATCGGGACACCTCAATCGACATGCGATCTAGTGCTGCTGAATTGCCTGTGCACTGTCGCTCAGCAAGGCGATATCATCGGCGTACTCCAAGTCAAAAACTCTGTTCCCGGAAAGGGCTTTACCTCACCATTCAGAAGACCAGACAATGTCCTGTAAAACAAACTCTATAGCAAATTTGAGAAGAAACTGGAATACGGAGCAGTCTTGTCGTACTCCACTGGAGATGGCAAAGGGTGGCGAAAGCTGGCCACAAGCCCCAATCCGACCTGAGGCATGACGATACAATTCTTTGAGGCCCGACACACACCTCTCGGGTGATCCATTTCGTAACAAGCAGTGTCATGGTACAGACCTATCGACAAAGTCGAAGAGTGTTACGGCACCACGAGTCAAGTCACAACTCACTTTGCCAGGAGAATAGAAAGCATTCTAAATAAGCGACCAGTGCTAGTTGATATTATCTGGTGGCGTTGATCTTAGCTTTTCAGCCATCGCGTTTCGGAAAGTTGTGAGGCAAGATGGATCAGACAGCACATCACAATCTGACCGCTGCTGCATCGTACGTTTGGCATGCCCACCGAAGCACATGGACAACTTAGTGCAGACTAACGCGTGGTCGGAGTCGAACGGGAGTACTCCAGTACGACCGACAGTCTTGTATGCAGCCCCATCATTCGTAACTAATTGTGACGTGGTTTGTCTGGGTCCATTGCTGACTCGAAGAGGGCGGACGCCACGTGGCGTACCGGCGATTAGAACGTCTGAAGTTTGTACTGCCGAGAAACAGGTGGTGACCTAAACACAAAGACAACAACCGTTCCCCGTTTTTTGAACGATAGGAATCGAGGCAAAAAGCGCTTCCCAAATGCGCCTCATTCGAAGACAACCGACCGACTCTAGCATTCATGTCTTCAGCTAAAATCGCGATATAACTCCGGTTTGCTTTGCGAATGAGGTCGCGTAACTTTTGGTAGAAGGCGTCCTTGATTGCATCTGGGCTGCAATCTGTAGGGGCCTGAGCGGAGACGACAAATAAATTACGTCTATCGGGACGGCCTTTACTTACTTTGTGGGGGCTTCTAAGTCTCACTACGCAAAACCGACCGTCAGCTGGGAGTCAGTCAAGTAGCGCATCCTCAGTCTGAGCCACAGCCGTTTCACTGAGAGCTACGCCTACACCAGCAAGAGAAGCAGCTGCAGCCTCAGGGTCCCCAAAAAAACGCAAGTACAACTTTGCAGAAGGATTGAATGGGGGCATCAATCGAACGACCGAGGTGGGGTCTTGGATGCGAGTCACCTGGATACAACAAACATCGATGGCAGAGGTCTCCAGCGTACGAGCTAGACACGCCTGTTGTCCTTTACGTATCAGCGGTCGCGCAATAAATATGGCCAGTTTAAAAGGACGTCTGGGGCTTAGAGGAGCATTAGCTGGCAGAAGCGGATTCAGTGAAACGTGAATATTAGACGAATGAATGTGGCAGGAAACAGAAACAGGACCTCCCTCAGAGGCACTGCCGTGATTACGGTCGACCGCAGTTCCCGAAAAATATGAATAAAGTGTGGAATTAGAAGAATGAACGTGTTTGTACGGTGTGATTACATCAGCACGAGCATGTTTATGACGAGCGTAACGATCGTGTAAGATATCCATCAGTTACATTGTTGTTGACGCTGTGGGCTATTGTGCTACTCGGTCGTCCAGTCCAGAGTAGCTATTTTTATTGGAGGATGCACCTCCAGTGATCGCGCAACCAAGCGCGTCGCGCAAGGCGGCAGTCTTTGTCCAGACGAGCCGGTGACCAAAGATGTAATTTACTCGGCTCTACCGGGAACATCTCAGCGCCGGTGAAAGTATATATATATCTTACCCATCGGAGACAGCGACATAATCTCACAAGCCGCCATATGGAATATGCATTGTGGCCGTATGTGCATACCCGATTCCCGAGCAGATTCGATCAAAAGCTGCAACAGGTCGCAGTTGCTCACCATTTACTGCCGAATCTTTCAGTACCCGGAATTGATCAGCGGAAAAGTTTCCTTATCCTCGGTCTGTAAAAGGAACAAGTATAGTCGCACTCTCTGATACCCCTTCTCCATCTCGCCTGTTTGGACCCACAGGAGCGGTAATCACTTTTCGACATGTTAGACCCCCTTCTACCAACGCTCAGCGCGTGCCTAAACCTATGAAGATTGCAATGGAATATCAGGACAAACTAAACAGTCGGTGTCCCACCTCATTAGTACTGATCCTACCACTCCTTACCGCCATTGTTTTATTCCGTTGACAGTGGTGGTCGGACCTTCACGACGTGACTGCATCTTGACGTGATGTAATGATTTGCGTGCCTCCATGACCCAAAGAGCCATGCAGGATGGCTTCCTTAAGCCGGAGATGCAATCATGCCTGAAAGGACGATGAGCAGGAGCCATACAAAGTCCATTCTCTGAACCGGTTGATGGGTAACATTTGTTTCTTCGCTGGAGAGAACACTGGGGTATGTGATAAACTACAGTCTAGTCCTCGCCGGTCAATGTTGGTGTGAAACATGCCGAAGTTTTATTTTGAGACAGCTACATTCAGAGCGTGCAGAGCGCAAACTAAAGGGAACTCGTGATCATCATCATCACCGTCGTACGGTGTTAAACAGCTGAGCTAGCCCCATTGACTATTGTTTTTCTCTACACGTTGCACGAACCAATAAAAAGAGCGAACTTACAAGGTAGATAGGGAGTGGACCTCCCCTGATGGGAAAAGGAATGAGAGCCGTAGTAATCAACACATGGATTACGCAGTCTAACTAAATAAACGCACACTGATCAATCATTCTGATTGGACAGAAAGTGACAACACGATCGCCACTGTTCACGGTTCGCTACTTTATCCTCCAGGGTTTCGAGCCAACTGGTTGAGGATTTTTTGGACCCCAACCACGAAGATGTGAGGCACCTACGTTTCATAAGTTCGCTGTACATTTTCTCACCGCTCACTGCCACGTCGTCCGTTGACCTCCACTAGGCTTCTTCCACTCCCGAGGAGAAACACAAAACAGAGTATGGTACGGTAGACGTGTGTGCCATATATAACACGTGCCTCAACCAACGAAGTCTACTAAGCTGGATACGCTGTGATAGAACATTCTCTGAAATAGTACCCAGTACCCGATATCTGAACTCAGCATTGCTCACTCGGTCATTCTATCTAATCTTAGCGATATTACGCAAACATCGATGGTCGGAAGTCTCAAGGCGACTGCCCGACGTCAATTCTTCGGGAGAAGGAATCAATATAACGTTTAGCATGCAACTAGGAAGTCTCGATTATTGTTACTTATTCGGTGGTGTATGAAGCCTTCTGCGCCAGACAGATTGCTCAGTTAACAACGTGGCAAACAGAAGTCACTTTCTGACTAATCAGGAAAGGCCGTTGATGTGGTAAAACAAAAACGTCGTACACATCCTTCCTCGCTTGAGGGGATTCTACCTGCCTGCCGGCTGGTAACGTTGCCCACTGCGAGTTCTAGACGGTGAATGCTCCTGTCGAACAAGTGAATGTAGAGTGTTATCTGAATCACTTTTTTCATTTCCCCCTCGTTTTCCTCGTCTTCTTCGTTATCGCCTCCATTGGTTTCCTTTTCCTCGTCATCGCTTTCGGATTTTCTCAGATGAACCCTATTCCTTCTTATCCGATGGTCTCCAGAGCGTATTAGGTGTGATTTCTTTGTCACGCGCGCTAGTACCTCTTCTTTCGTCCAGGATCTTTCTGTCAGTTCAGTTGGTTGAATCCAGACTGTGCCATCTGACCTGAGTGAATGTAGTGATTTTCTGTCCCGATCGTAAAGTCTTTTTTGCACCGCCATTCGCTTTTACGGTGTCAATTTGACTACTAAAGGCGCTACGACAGTAAACCAGCACAAACGGATAGTATCGTGAATGTCCGTCTTCCGAATAGGTGTTTCGTCGGGTTTGTTCCCACCGTTTCGTAGGTATATTTCGATGCTCAAGAAGAGCGACAAACAGCGCTCTCTGCTCTACCGTTGGACTGGCTGTGGCAAGGACTGATGATGTGATGGCTGAAATGCCACATCTCCGAAAAATGCTGGGATTCCATGTTGCGAAACCCGAGGACCACCCTCGAAAATCGCTCGGTACGGGATTCCATGTCGTGCAAGATTGGTCCGCAGTTTGTTGGTAATTTCTGCAGCTGTTTCTGTTTTCAGAAGGTCGGTTTCGAAGAAATCACTATAGTATACAACGGTCACTTCGTAACTGTCCTTCCCATGGTAAAAGATATCCAACGCCACAATTGGCCGAGGCCGGTCGGATATTGGGTGCATCTCCGTCGGTTCTCTCGTTTGTCGTTGATCAAATTGTCTGCATGGTTCGCGATTGGCTACCATCTGTTTAACCTGTTCTGCCATATCTGGCCAGTAGTGTTTCTCTGGCTCGGGTGATACATCCATTGCTACCTGCGTGTGAACAGTGTAACCGACGTTGAATGTCTTTCCAAAAAGCTTGCAGTGCCACCAAACGCTCACCTCGAGAAATCAGTTCATCCTCTGTTGTTAGCTCATCACGAAATTTGAAATAAGGTAACACTTCTGCCAATAGGGCTGTTTTATCTCCCGGTCAACCGTGAGTAATAACTTCCTTCAGGGGTTGTGGACAAGGATCGGCCATCATGGGTTCCGGATTCAGATTCCGTAACCGCCAACGCAGTGTTCACCGTTTCATTTCTGCGTTCGTATTCCGTGTTCTTTGGTTAAAAACAAAACGCTCATATGTTTCGTTGCATTCACCAAGACAATATCGCTCGAGTTTAAACATTACCGTCATCCGGTGACCACGGTCCTCATCGGAATCATGAAAAGCCAGTGATGATAGGAAGCGCTGCCGGTCCAATGAAGTGACGAAATAACGCAAGCCGGTCAGCCTTTGGTTCGTACTCCATCGCCAACAGTATCCGGAAATCTTCATGCTACCTCCAATTGTCAGCCAATCGACCCGTGTTTTCCGTCACTAAGTGCACCGATGGGTGGATCTGCAGGCGATTGTGCAGTCGTATCTGCGATATCGACGTTTTCACATTAGTTTCCGCTGCCACCATGTCAAAAGTCATTTCTTCGGGAAAAAAGCAGTATGTTGTTGTAGAGTGCAACTAGGAAGTCCCGATTATTGTGAATTATTCGGTGGTTTATGAAGCCCTTTTCAGCAGACAGATTGCTCAATTTACAATGTGGCAAACAGAAGTCACTTTCTGACCAATCAGGCGGCGTCATTGGTGTTGTGAAACAAGAACATATCCAACACAACGACGAATATCTTCCGCACGCAGACTCCATGTCCCAGAACCATACAAAAGAACTGGACGCATCGCGGCACAGTACACACGACCTTTCAACTTCAGTGAAATATCAGGTCGGCGCCACTGGTGCTTCAGTTTAGCGTACGCCGTTCGGGATTTGGATATACGCGTGGTCGCCTTTACTATCGTGCTCTCATTCGTCGTCACATTGCTGCCGAGGTAAATGAAGCGGTCGACAATTGCTAGCACCTCCCAACCGAGCATCAATCTCGGGACCGTTGACGTCCAGTCTTGCAACAACAATTTACACCATGAAAGTGCAAAGCGCACGCCGAATGGAGCCACAGCGTTTGTGAGTCAACCTAGTGCACGTCGTGTGTGTTCCGTGCATTCGAAAAAGCACACAAGTTCGTCCGCGTAATCTAGGTCACACAGCTTTTCACTATTTGTCAGTTCGACGACCAGATCTTCAGTATTTCGTAAGGCATTCTCCACCATCTCGTCCATGACGAAATTGAACAGGTATGGCAAAATGGGACATCTTTGTCAAACACCACTGGTCGTCTTGAACGGACTGGATAGTTCACCGTAAACACTCACGCGATCAGAAGTAGGACATTACAGTACTTTCATTAGAATCACGCACTTCCGTGGCATACCTTTTCGGTGAAGTGCACTGATTAGTACTGTTTGCTTAACTGATCTAAAGGCGCATTTTAATTCGAGGAAAATCATTATCGTCCGTCGACGGTGTGTGTTTTTGTGTGACGCGTTTCAAGTAATTGAAGAGGCGTGAAAATCTGAGCGTTGCATCCTCGACCTGGGGTGGAATCCGGCCTGTTGTTCGCGGGTGTTCCTATCTCGAGCCGATATTAGAGGGTGCAGAAAAATCGAGGCTGATACCCAGTGGTTATCGAGATTAAACTGATCCCGCGATGATTGCTACAGTCATTGGGTATTCCCTTCTTGAAGATAGATACAATCAATATCTCGCCCCATATAATAACGGTCCACATATCACGGAGGCAGGTGGTAAGTGATTTTATGAACGCATTAACACCCAGTTTGAAAAGATTTGGAGGGAGTTCGCAGCTTTTCCGTGCTTTAGTAATCGAATGCTGGACTCTGTTATTACTTCCGATGGGGGCTTGAGTGACACTCCACAGGGAATCGTAGTTGTCGACGTCAGAGTAACTACATTAGTGCGCGACCAGGTGAGCTGATCCTTGAAGTATTCGACCCAACGGTCGAGTCTTTGCTGTTCGTCATTTATAGGCTGTCCATTTCCGTAGCATATCGTTTCACTGACCGGGGTTCGCCGTCCACCACCGGCGTCGGGGAAAATTCTGAACAATCCTTGTTACTTGAAACAACTGCTATTTCTATTTGACCGCCCAGTTTCTGCCTTCCTTCCTAATGCTTTTTGTAAATTTCCTTTGTAGATTTCTTGGTATCTTTTTCATCTCTATGTAATTCAGGATATGACGTTTTTGCTCTATTAGACTGATCGACTTTTGAGAAATTCAGTGTCTTTGATGGACTTCGGATGTAGAACCGCAGGTAAAGCCCACCACCGCGTGTATCGCCTGTTCTGTGTGGGCCCAACGCTCATCTGTAGTGGTGTCGTAGATCCCAACACGTGGTAATTTCTGTTCATAACTGGTGGGAATTTCTGGATCAGACAAACGTTGTGCGGCCAGCCGGGTCTGCGGTTTGCGTCGATGACCATGATGCTGTTTCATGACATTTTCATCGTTTTAGGTTGCATATTTTCGCACTCCTGCAGGCAAATTTTTCATGATGTTTTCCGATGCGGTTCGTGTACTGTGAGCTTCGTTCTGCAGTCAGCCAACGACCGGTCGGTCGTGCTATTGTATTTCCAACCATCAACTGACTATCCCTCTGTTTGTCTACCCCTTCTTGTTCTGCATTTTTGTGCGTGTGTTTGATCATCATCTATGCACGTTTCCATCTGCCCTTGGATAGGATTGTGTGTATTCCTCATCTGTGGGTCAGGCTTTTCTCCCTGTCCCCACGATTCGTATTTGTTCAGATGGAAATCCTGTGAACAGACCCTCACGCGAGCCTACACGTCTCTCTCTCTCTCTCTCTATGTGTGTGTGTGTGTGTGTGTGTGTGTGTGTGTGTGTGTGTCCCAGTTTGTCTAGAGGTTGTGTCCGTCCACGCTGTCCTTACTAAGTGGGTAAATTGATCCATTTATCTCATTCCATCGCGCAAGTACGACTCTGTCTATTCCTCATCACTGTTGTGGCTTGAATAATCCACGCTCGAGGTTTTTGGCCACAGTACCGAGAGTGACCATAAATCATTCGCTTTGTTGAATATGATTGTTAATACTGTTGTTGCTCACATCAAATGTGAGGTAGATGTACCACTTTATGCAGTTGCAGTGTAGTGCGTACAGATTAATCGCTATCATATTGGGTTCTCTTTTTTCAAAAAAATATCCTATTACTCCGCATCACACCGTGCTCATGCTAGGACTGTTGATATCGTTGCTGTACTTACTTACCATAATGATTAGCCTGTACAGTTGTGTATGACTTGCACTGGTAAAATGAACACCGCGTCAACGAGGTGATTTGTCCCTTCACATGCAGTTTATTACAGTGACTAACACTTTTTGTTACATGATTTGAGTTACGCGAAATCCGAGTTCTACCGAATGGTTGTGACTGAACAGGGTGTCAACGGGCCATGAGCTACTGCACGTGTGTGCATGCGCGTCACAGGGGCGTTGTTTCCCCTTACCCGTATAGGTTCACTCCCTGTCTATCTTGTTGATTCATTCTTTCTACTTTCACGTGCAACTTGATGAAAAAGGCAATGGTCAGTGGGGCATGCCCTGCTGCTTAACGCTGTATGGTGATGATGATGATGATATTGTCCTCGTACCAATTAGACTGTGAGCCACTTCGTCTGTACATACGGTTGCGGTGTATGTTCCTCTCATCTGATCTCAGGTTGTCATCACAAAAATCGAAATTGTCAGTCGTGATAACTGTCATTCTGATTTTCTCCATTCAGATACATTAGCACTTCCGGTCCCGAGGAACGTATCAAAGAGATTATTCTCGATGAGACAGATGAGTTATGGTGCGAACTGCGACATCAACATATTGCAGTTGTCTCTCAACAGGTATGGTGCTCGTATCCCTAGATGCATTTGTTTATTCATGTATCCACTCGTACTATGGTATTTACCACCCACTCCGTCTCGTTACCACACCTGACCTATTGGGACCTGATGTGATTGTGCATTCCAAGTCTCAGAGTCTGTTTACCGGTTATCCCCAATATTGCAGTGAGCCTTCGAGGCTATGGGATAAATGCCCTTTCCACCGTACTCATGCGTGAGCATGTAATAAAAAAAAATCAAGGAAAAAATTGGTCGGATACATGGTCTTTAACCGACTTGGTTATGCTGCGCACGAACAGCCATAAACAAGGGTCACTGGTCGAAAAGAATTGAGCCGAGCCGACGCTGTAGTGTGAAAATATCGATGCCCAATAACTGGATCGTGATTCGGAATAACGATCAACCATCCATAACTTGTTTTCCTCTATTTCGTCATGCCTTGAGGCGGATTTCACTTATCAAATGCCCCAGTGTTATACCTTGAACAGATGTCGGTCGATTCAATAGGGTAAAGTGTCTGCGCTCAAACTCTTAAACAGAACCGACAGTTCGTAGAGTTTCGCTCAACATCTGATATTGTTGCGTGTAGAACCGTTCGTCCAGTTACCTCAGTTGAACATCTCATGCATGCTCAAGGTTCAGTACCATTTCAAATCTAACTGAAGCCACCAGTCTCACCGCTGTCCAAGCACTCGTCACCTGTCCGACAAGACTTTTCTGAAAAGGAGAGTCAGAGTTTAAAACAGCACGGTTTATGCCAGGGATGATTTCGCTGCATCTCGACATTGGGCGTATTACAGAACGGTAGCATTTACGGAGGTTCATGTGGAACAGTGATGCTTGAAAATTGTGGGAAACAAATCAAAAGATAGGGAAGGGGTAAATCGCATCACCACGGTAAAGATGAATCAACGAACAGTTCTTCCTGCGGACAATAAAGGTTTGCATCGATTTATGGCGATTTCCTTAAAACACCTCAGTAGTCTGGCATTTTTCCGATGTATATGACCCGAAACGCAGTGTTTTAACCAAATAGATATTGAGTCATCAGAAGCTGGCAAGCGATGACTGAAAATGTGGCCTTATGGCTGTCAACGTTGCCATTATACGTTTGATTTGACCGCAATTGCGTCATGAAATGTTGAACCCAATCTTGAATCTCAAATCACTCGGTTGTGTAACTGTCGCTCTGTTTCCTCCTCGTCACAACCCGCGATCACTGCGTTAGCTTCCATCACGATTGGACTGGATTCCTGTTGACATCTGCTGACAGCTTTCGTGATGTAGGTTGTTTGTGTTGATTGTTCGCTTAAAACGATGCATTGACTTTGCTATGTACGGTCAGTGGTTTCGACCAATCGATTAATCGTTCGGTTTTCTGGTACTACGTGACCGCTGAGTTAGCCGCGCAACTGAGGGAGGACTGACTTCAGACAAATCGAAACGGCTAGGATAAGAACTGCGTTAGTTGACCTTGTAATGTAAAATACTGCAATACCCCGTTTGTGAAATAAATGAAGAGGGAGAAATGTGAAGATGACTTTGGTCTGTTGGTGAGTTTCGGTATTATGAAGGCTATCTATGCGGATTGTGAAGTGTCCGGTTGGCGCGATGGATTGGGTTATTGCATTGGAAATTCAGATGAACTCACTTTTTTGCATCGATCGTGGTCTGGTTGAGATTTACCGCCGGATCGTTTAGTTTGCTAACTTGATAGGAAAAAGCTATAGGTACACTTTCTAGAATCACATTGTGTTTATCTCTTGAGAGTTGAGCTATCTGCCAACATTGATATATCATCGACTTTCAACCGCTGGTTTGCATGCTTTTGTAGTCGAGTAATGACTTAAGGCAAGTGTATATTTCACTATTTAGACCGAATTCGATCCTGGGATTTTTTGGGAGCATTTTAATGAATAATCCACCGGTTAGAAATTTTCGAAGCTGTTGTTGGTCTTTTCAAATGCGATAGGTTAGTAATCGCTCTCACCATTCTGTTTTAAAGAAGCGTAAACCAACTGAAGTTTTTGTGCTCCAGGGGTTCGCAATCAACTATTTTCCTGTTGGTGATTGTAGCTTCCACTCGAGATGGCTTGAGTACGTAATCTGTCACCCATCCAGTAACTCTCTAAAAGCCTCATATACATCAACCGGGGATGTCTGCTACATCCAGTCACGATCGTTTGTTCATTAATTATTCAGTTCGTTTTTACGAAAATATCGCGCATACTTCATCCTTGTCAGGCGTGATTTCGTTCGTACAAACTCAGTATCCTATTTGGGTTATATGCGTCATCATTATATATGAAGTGGTCCACAGACCTACTAATAAGAACACCATGCGTCCGACTTTGTTTCGGCTCGTATCATCAACACTGTTCATGACAGAACGCAAAGACAACCAACAAGACCTTGTATTACCACAACATACGAACATTCTCTATAGATGTACAACAGAGGTTTCTATAGTCTGTTCACGACGGGGGTATAAACGAACCAATCAGGGGACAGGAGAATGGACACCTCAACACCGTCTTCTTGCTTTTCATTCTTCATTTTTTCCCTCATAGTGCTGGATATTATGGGGTCTGTACAAAAGAAAGAGGAGAACTAATAAGACAAGGTTGACCTCAACGTAGTCGCCCTCCCCCAGTCTATACTACGCTGCCTCCCTCCTTAAGACTGCACTGTCCTCAGTGCGACTACAGTGCCGCCTGTGGCGGGGACTTTACATTCGTGAACAACGACCAATCCGAGTCTCATTTGAGTAGCGTTAGTGGTATCGGGCTTAAGACGGTTAAAATGTGCGACAAAAGGTTGTTGCAATGACCCATTTAAGCTGTAGACAGAGCATGTAGCGTCGGAAAGAACTTCGCAAGCCACATAGGGTGCCGTCCAACCGGGAGTAAACTTTGCCGGTACTCCAGGAGGTGACATCTCCGTCCGTAACCAAACTCGGTCACCCGGATGTACCGGGGCACCAGACATTTTGATATCATAGTGGTCTTTCTGTCGGCGGTGTGTCGCTTGTAGTTGTAGTGATGCTATCTGAGATCCTTTCGTGAGCCGTGCGCGTGGTTGAATAACGTAGTCGCTTCACAGGAGGCCGTCTAGGTTGGCCCTCCGCGTGAACACGTCGGTAGATATGCGCATTTTCCATTCATTAGTCATAAAATGTGGAGTATGTCTAGTAATTCGGTTTACACCGGCAGGATATGGGGAGAGAGTGAGGTAGGGCTTCGTCCTATGACCGTGTGAGCTCAGTTTCCACGCACGCATTAAGAAGGTTTTTGAGGGATCGATTCATCCGTTCACCCACTCCGTTTCCTTTTGGATAATGAGCAATCGCTCAGGATTTTGACATACCCAGTATGTAACATATTTTTCTCATTAGGAAATCTCCGCAATTTGAATCGCGGTCTGAATATAGCTGTTTTGCGACTCCCTAACGCGATACGCAATTGTTAAAGATGGTCGCAGCTGTGGTTCGGGCATCGATTCGACTTATGGTAACGGCTTCACATCACTTGATGATCCACCATCAAGAGCATGTACCGGCTGCCCTTCGTGGTACCGGACAAAAGACCTACCGTATCAACGACCACAATTTCGTTTGCATAACAAACAAGTTCTGCATCGGACCCTGGTTCTGCTGTCGTAGCCCTTTAAATCCTACGCAGAGAGAACAGGACATACAAATGTTTTGAACATCACGTCTCTGATGTGGCCACCAATGGCGCTGTCTCACAGCGTGGTCCAACCTTGTCTGACCAACGTTCTTCAGTTTAACGTGAAGGCCTGTTAACAGCTCATGTACCTTATCCTCCGGCACTTGTGCACGCCGAGTATATTCAGATTCGGATTGGAAGTACAAAACTCCATCATTCATAGTTAGATGATCCCACGGATTACAAGCATCGTGTTTCCCAACTAACGCTTGTCATCTCCCCGGCTTGGGGCCTTTCGTCTCCGCTTGCCAATGATGTGTACAGCACATACACGTCAGAGTTGGCACTTTGGGCTTCATGGCGGAGATGAATTTCATTTGATTGGGACAACGCAGACACCTTAAATGCCTCGGCACATATGGGACAGTTGCCATGGTAATCATCATCATCATCGTACAGCGTTGAACATTAGGACAAGCCCCACTGACCACTGCCTTTCTCACCATGTTGCACGTTGAATTAGAAAGTATGAATATACAAGATGGATAGGGGGTGGACCTACACGGGCGGGGAAAGGAAAGAATGCCCTAGTAGCCAACACACGGAATACACAGTCTAACTTTACAAACCCACACCGATCAGTCATTCTGATTCGATAGAAAGTGACAACACGATCACCACTGCTCGCGGTTCGCTTCATTACCCTCCAGTATCTCCAGCCAACTGGTTGAGGTATTTTTTGGACTCCAACCACGAAGACGTGAAGCGCCTACTTCTCTCCAAGTTAGTTGTACATTTTTTCATTCCTCGCTGCCACGTCATCTGTTGACCTCCACGTGGTCTTTTCCACTCCTGAGGAGTAACGGAGAACAGGACACGGTACGGTAGACGTGTGTTTGACATACGTACCACATGCCCCAACTAATGAAGTCTACTGAGTTGGATACGTTGTGACAAAACGTTCTCCGAATTAGTACCCATTACTGGATTTCTGACCTCATCATTACTTACTCGGCTATTCCACCCGATCTTAGAGATACTACGTAAACATCGATGGTCGAAAACCTCAAGATGACGAATATCTTCAGCACGCAGACTCCAAGTTTCGCAACCATACAACAAAACTGAACGCACTGCAGCACAGTATACACGACCTTTCAACTTCAGTGAAATATCAGATCGACGCCACAAGTGCTTCAGTCCAGCGTACGCCGTTCGGGGTTGGAATATACGCGTGATCACCTCTACTACAGTACTCCCATCCGTCGTCACGCAGCTACCAAGGTAGGTGAAATGGTCGACAACTGACAGCACCTCCCCATCGAGCATCAA